CAGGGGTCGCATTCGGCAGCTGTCTAGAGGGACAGGATGTTGTCGCGCGCGCGGCGGGGGGCGTGCGAAATCGTGGCAGGCGCAGCACTTTGGCGATGCCGTTGCCTCTGTCGTGGCAGGCGCTGCATTCTGTGGAGATGCCATTGCCGAAGTCGTGGCAGGCGCAGCATTCTGTGCATCTGGGTGTGTGTTTGTGTGGCAGGGCAGGCGCAGCATTCTGTGCATCTGGGTGTGCGTTTGTGTGGCAGGGGCAGCATTTGGCAGCTGTCTAAAAGGACAGGATGGCGTTGCGCGCTCGGCGGGGGGCGTGCGAAATCGTGGCAGGCGCGGCACTTTGGAGATGCCATTGCCGAAGTCGTGGCAGGCGCAGCATTCTGTGCGTCTGGGTGTGTGTTTGTGTGGCAGGGGCTGCATTTTGTCACTCATTCGCTCGCATTCATAAAGGGTCGTCTACAAGGCTTGTGTAAGTGCAGAGCTGTGAGTACATGAGGCAGGGTGCATTGTGAGGCAAGCTGTTGGATGTTGAGATTGGGCTCGCAGAAGCTTTGTGTCCAGACATTTGAACTCACATCCTTGGGAAAAACATAGCATGTGGGGTTATCCGGTCCTTTAATTTTGCAGTATGTGGTGTTAAACCTACGAAGAAGGTACCCTCAACAAAATAAATATATACATATATATACTACTACTACTACTACTACTACTACTACTACTACTACTACTACTACTACTACTACTACTACTACTACTACTACTACTACTACTACTACTACTACTACTACTACTACTACTAATAATACTAATAATAGTAATAATAATAATAATACAAATAATAATAACAACAAAACACAACGAAACAAGGCGCCCTCAACAAACAAAACCGGCCGTGGCACGGCAAGATCAAAACCGGCCTTCCAGTTGGATGTGCAGCTCGAGGCCGGGTCTTTGGAGCTCGTCCTGGGCTTTGGAGTCCGCTCTGATCCCCCGCCAAAAATGTGAAGAAGTGTGGGTGGGCGAAATGGACAACCCAAAACCCACAAAGCCAACGAACAGGATCTAAAAAAGCTAAGGAGCTGAATGGTCATAGGTGTCCTTTTAGGGCAAATAGATGGGTTTCGCTGGCAGATGAAACCCATCTATGTTTCTTCCCCCAAATATCCAAAAAGGACACCTACGACTGCAACCAGTTCTCGCCTTTTGGCGGCGAAAGAGGGAAGCTGAGGGTCCGAGTTGCAAAAAGGGTGACTCGCTTTGAGGGGCATGGCCCGAAAAAGTTTAACCCAAGCTTGTTGCTTGCTGACATGGTCATTTCAAGCCCAGGAAGGCCAGTTGGGTGAGCTAAGGCAAGGCAAGGCCAGGATGCAGTCCCTTGACCGAAAGTGATCGAGTTTGGATGGGACGGGGGGTTGCAGCGGATCACTGATGCACGGTGAACTGAATGGGATCATTCAATTCCCGTCTTGCTCTCTCATGCATCCTGAAAGACGGCGGTTTCTTGAGAAGCTGACTGCATCGCAGTTCTAAGATTCTATCCGGTGCCACTACAACCTGGAAGACACATCCCGTGTCAGCAAGCTGAACCTTACGTTGAAGGCCTTCACCCAATATGAGAGGTAACCAAAGGAAAACCACCATTTGGGATCCTTTGGTGGACATCAGATTTCACAATTTGGCGGGGGCTCATGTCCGTCAAGCCACTTCAGGTGGTTCGCGCTCTCAGAATTTATCGCCATTTGAACATCCCAAAGGACAATGTCTTTGCCGCTGGTTCCCTATCCGAGGTTGCCAACCCTCCGATCACTCAATCCGTTCCAAGTCTTGAAGCCGCCAAAATCGTCGTGAAAAGCTGTCGGGTACAAACTTGGAAGCGTGTGGAACGCACAACCAAAAACGAATGCAATGGGTTGCACAGCTACGGCTACAAGCACATCAAAGGAAACAGAGTGCAATTGACACAGGGTGCCTATGCGGCTTGTTTCTTTATTTCTCTGAGGTCCTTATCTAGAAAAATTGGGCAAAGGAGCAACACATCGAGCTTGGCCACTCATGGCACGGCAGGGCAAACCGTGATCCGTGATGCAATGCGGCACGTGTTCACTGCAGCCCAATTTGGCAGTCAGAAATTGGCCTTTAGCTTTTGATTCTCCGCCAAGCAATGCCTGTGTTGAAGGGATCTACTAGATTGACTGGTTTGTGCAGGTCAATGGATCAATGACAGGCCCCTGCCAAAAACCTGCACTGCGCGAGGGAAAGGAATGAAGCTCTCAGCTGCCAGCCATCCACTGGACATATCTACGCCTGGCCAGACTGGCAGCGCTCGGCGACAGCTCAGGCTGACGAACCTCAAAGTAGAAAGAGGCCCCGCGATTGAAAAGACACTTGCTGGTGCGAGAGATGCAGGGAGTGAGAAATGGCTCCTGAACTCAACCATCCAATTGATGGCTTCCTTTAAACAAATCCCCAGGTTCATTCCCTCATTCCCTACTGAGCACCAGCAGGAAAAAGTCAGATGCAGTTGGAGGTCAGTTTCTGTGAGGGTACTCATTTGTTCAAGGAGGATCCCTCTGCTTCTGGTCTTGTTTCGAGCCATGGCACGGTCCCAAATCATGTCGGCAAGGCGTTGCCAAATACAGCCCAGCCTCAGATGTGAGCGTTCGCGGCAAAAGGTTGCTCACAAATCCGGCCGGTGAACAATTTCGAGCTGTCATTGGGAAACAGACTCTACGGAAGCACCAAACAACACAAAATTGCAACAGTGCCACGTGGCTCTGTGTCTACTCATCAAATCTGCTGCCAATCTCCCACTTCCACAGATTTCCCTTGTGCGACAACGCTCGAATTAAGAACAATCGCCTTTTCCACGACACGACGCCTTCGCGCACTTGGTCGATGCCCCTAAAAGGGGTGGTTGGCTCCCCGCCAACTGACTCTTCGCGCCGCAGCTTCGAAGCTGCTGGGAGCTCGGCTGCTCGGGCCCCGGCGTGCTCTAAAAAGAGGCCAGCGAGCAGGGCTAGGCCGGGGATCGCCCAGCGCAGGATTTCCTGCCCTGGCGAAACAGATTCCCTGGAATTCTCACTCCCGTCCATTGGTCCAGACAAAGTGCCCACAACTTTTTATTTACCATTATAGTAAGCAAAAAGTGTGGGCACTTTTTCTGGCCAATCCACTCGATGGGTGATCATTGGAGACAAACCATCACAGCACCTTTTGATGGACAAAATCCACTCCATCTGCTCACAAGCTGGGATGGTGTATTAAGCAGTATTCGAATCGGGGTTCTTCCATACCAATTGGTACTTACCTGCCCAAAGGACCCAGAAGTAGAAGATGATCACGTTTCGGTACTTTGACTATGGACCAAACTGGGAAACCAAGATATACCTGGTTGCTTTCTGCTCCCCTGCAAAAAGTTGAATTTTAGTGCTTTGATGGAAAACCCATTAGTTGGCAAAAAGTTAGTCCCAACATCCAAGCAACATGCACCAAAGTTTTGGCAGAGCCCCAAACTGGTTGTTCGCTTTTGGTTCTCCTTCACACCCCCTACCAAGAACCCATCTCTGGAGGTGCCAAAGAACGGGTCAGATCACAAGGTCGATTCGCTTGAGGGCAACTGCCGCGCCTTCGCGGCTCAGCACCTGATCTGCGCCTGTCATGGGATCGAAAAAAGTCGCCGAGGGTTCCGGGCCATCCCAGTGTCTGAGTCAGAATCAACACCCGGTATCAAAATGGTCGTAATCCCAGAACCACGCAAAAGAATTAAGAAGCCGGAATTCCGCAACTATTTGTGGTTGGGATTGTCCCTTACTAACCTTCATCTACCCGGGCTTTGATTGTGGCTCACCTGAATGTACCTGGCAAGCGGTTTATTTCACCCTTGGTTTCTCTTTTTAAAGCAACCCCCAAAAGGGGAACACCCTCCCATCCACGATGCAACCTGATAGTTTTGGGGGTTCACCAGTTTCCTCCAAAAGAGACCCTCTAGTGGGTTCCATGTTGGTGGACCAATGGGAAATAAAACACAACGTACCTTGTATTCTTTTGCGTGGTTCTGGGATTACGACCATTTTGATACCTCTCATTGCCAGGTACATTCAGGTGAGCCACAATCAAAACCCGGGTAGATGAAGGTTAGTAAGGGACAATCCCAACCACAAATAGTTGCGGCCAGGTTTGGGGATGCAAGACCGCACCAATGGATGTCAATTTCATTAGCTGGAGGCTGATAACTCAATAGCAATCCTGTTTCCGTTGACAGCAGCGAACTGCAACCTCCTGTACCGTGCGCACACGCAAGGCAGTCAGGATAGATGACACAAGTGACAGAAGTTTCGGATTTGTGTTATAGCGCGACCGCTCCATCCTGCAGCAACGTATGAGACGCACATTTCAAGATGTCCAAATAGCACGTCTCACATCTTAGTGAACAGACTCTCTAGTGCAGTTCCTCTGGAAGTAAACTTGGAAGGTGAAGAATAGGCCAGCACACCGATCCGAGACAAAACCAACCCTGGGGAACAACACTGGCACTCAAAACCACATAAGAAATGACATCTACATCTGGTGTGGACTGTGCCCGACAGACCTTCAATTATGCCGGGTGCCTGTTTGTGGCTCACTTCCATTTGCTTAAGCCCACAGGAACAAGAAATATGTTCAGCAGTGATCAATTCCCACTAAAACCAACAAGGGACAATCATACATATTCTTGAGCAAAATTCTTGGACACAAGCCATGCTTCTTGGCTCACCATGCCCGTTCCTTGACGAAGATCAGCTTCCCAGGCAAATGGAGACTCAACACCCCCTAGTCTGCCGAGTGCGTAAAACCGGCGTGCTACGCTCTCTCTCGCGCCTGGATCGCCGATCAACCTGGTCGAGCGCTTGGTCTCATGGGATTGCCGCAGTGGCACTGGTTTCAGGGAAACCGCCAGGAAAAACCAGCAGCTCTGTCGCGTATGGGACGCCTCGCCAAGATTTAGGTCAGGAAGTGGTTGCAAAAAG